CTTAAAAATAGTTAAGAGGATAATTTTTATGTGATGTGTATTTTACTACAATATAAAAATTGAACAAAAGAATAGTACATGAATCTTGTTTAGAATGAAGCTAAAGTGCTATTTAAGTTAAACACACATCTGAAAATAGAGGTAAAGATGGTGGGGATGATAGGAAGAAGGTAGGGAATCTCACATGGTCTATCCTAAGCGTCAAATGAAGGTGCCTCAGCCCTTGCCTTCCTCACCTTGCCTCATTCCAGGGTGCAATCGTCCACCACTGCAGTCCTTCACATGCATTTCTGCTCCACAGTGGATGGTCCAGTGCAGTCCAGGAGAGCTAAATCTGGGGACTTCTGGGTTCTGTACATGTCTGGCAGCATCAGGGATTGGGAATCCTGACTCCTGATATTTACAAAATGTTGTGTATGAGTTTGTGTTCTCCACCACTAGATCGCTTCTACAAATGACAGCAAATGAATGAATGCGTGAAGGAATGAATTCCATCCCAGGTGGAGGAGAGAAAAAAAAACAGGTGCTCTGATTTCTCCCTCTTCACTGCCAGGTCTGTGAAGATAGGGCTAGGAGCTCCTTGGGCAGGGGCCTTGTCAGCTTCTTGCTTTGGAGACAGGGTTCATGGGTGGACATTAGGGCCCAGGGAGGTACAGTTGGCTCTGTGTTGGGCTCCTCCCTATTGGAGACTAAGCAGGCCCTATCTTGTGTGACATGTCACCAGCAGGCAGACCTGGCTGTGACTCTGTGTGCCTGGGGCACCTTCTCCACACAGCTTGTGCTCCTGGATGCTCTGAGATCCCGAGAGCTATGCACCATCTTCCTGTGTGTCTTTGTGCCCAGAGCCATTATATATGTTAGCCATACACGATGATGCTGTAGTCCTCTGGAAGCCAGTCCTTAACTCTGACACCAGCTGTGAGGGGACTTTGCATAAGTCCTTATATGCGATGTCGCCCAAACCACACTCTGCAAAACATTCCACAGGTCTTATGCCCAGAAAGCCTTCTGAGTTCAAATCAGGTTGAGTCTTTATATTGTTTCCCCAGTTCAAGATGTCTTATGCTTCTGATGGTCAAGATGTCAATAATAGTACTATTAAATAATAGCTGACATTTATCAAGGACTTGCTGTGTAGTACACAGGTCTTCCATGCATTGTTTTTACTTAATACTCTCAACACCTAAGGCTTACTGAACTGAAAGTAACTTGTTTGAAGTCAGGGCTTTCCAGAAGAAACCATGGGGAGCAGATAAAGACTGAAAGAAGAGAATTAGTTACTGATATTCATACTTGACTTTCAGCGGTGCTTTTAAAACTTTAACGGGCATGAGCATTACCTGGGAATCTTGTCAAAAAGCAAACTTTAACTCAGTAGTTTTGGGTGGGGCCTAAGCTATGACATTTGTAAAGGCTCTTAGACCACAGATCAGGCTGTGAAGAGGGGGACATCAGAGCACCCGTATTTTTACTCTTGCACCCGGGATGGAACCTATTCATTCATTCATTCATTCACTTGTTCATTTGTTCATTTGCTGTCATTTGTAGAAGTAGAGAACATAAGCTGTGACATTAGGAGCCAGGTTCCAATTCTGGTTCTGCACTTTTCTAATGGATGATTTATCTGAGTCTCAGCTGCCCATCTGTAAAATGAGAATTCAACTCATATTTTATAGTGTCTTTGTGACTACCAAATGTGAAAAATGTGGCCAGAACCTAGAGCATGGTATACATTCAATAAATAATTGTGGTTTGGGAACTTATTTTTTAATATTTATTTATCTTTTATAGAGATAGGGGTCTCGCTATGTTGCCCAGTCCTCTGGCCTCAAGCAATCCTCCCAACTTGGCCTCCCAAAGTGCTAAGATTACAGGCACTGGTGCCCAGCCTGGGAGCTTATTTTATTACTCATTTATTTATTCATTTCAGTCGAGATTCTCCTATGATTCCCAGTAAACTTACATTAGCATTGATTTACCAATTGCCTACCTGTTTCAGCAAAGATGCCCCAGTGATTCCAGTGGTTACAGCAAAGGGCCCCAGTTGTCATTAGGAAGTAGAGAACCTGGCATAGACTGAGAGACACAACTTCTAATCATTTCAGCAAAAAGTGGAAGGAAATTGGTGAAGAGACAGGTACAAGTGATGGACCATGGGAGGCATTTGCGAATAACTCCCCCAGAAAGGAGGAGTGAGAAATGTGTGTGAGCAGAAGAGAGAGGGAGACTGGAACGGGGTAAAATGTCAACAGAACACAAGCTGTTAATTATCTGGAGAGAACTAAATATTATGGAGGCAATTATCCACAGGCGTCTGAAAGCAACAATAGGAGAACTTGGTCCCCAGCCGAATTCCACCTCCCTTTGGAGAGGGGCTGGGGAGACAGGCTTTGGCATTCAGAACAGGCATTTACACTGAGAGAGTGTGAGGGGCCTGGGGCCCCCAAGGAGAGGGGGTAGGCCGAGGTCCTCCAGCCCCACCCATCCAGACAGCCCAACAAGATCCCTCCTGGAGCACATCACCGTGCTTTGAAAGACAGCTTTGCCCACAAGCTCCAGGCCTGGAAACCTCTCAGTCCCCTCCCCCTCCCCCTCCCTCCCCCAAGATGTCATCTTTTGAGACAATTTCATGTGGAAGCATCGCTAAGTAAATTCGCTAAATGCCTATTCATCCCCATCAGATGGGGACTCAGTGAAGCAGTAAATGTGAAAATGGCCCGAGCTCACAGCCCTGAAAGGCGCTTTCGGGGGTTGCCAAATGCAGCTGCAGCCGCTGACCCTGGGAGACTTGAGGCTTCATGAGAGGGGGCCCAGGGGCCCCAGCCCAGCCCCTTCAATCCTCCCACTGAGGCCGCATGAGAGGCCCTATTTATTATTCCTACTGCCGGGGACCCATTCAGAGGTTAACTTGTCCCACATTCATCAGAACAACAATAATGAACTGTCTCAGAGAGTGGTGAGGGGCTTGGTAAATAAGGGCTGTGAAGACACAGATGGAACAGGACTCTTTAGGGTTTGGAGAGCGATGTTGCTTTAATTTTTCTTTATATGTAGGCTGATTTTGTTTCCGCATCTCCCCATGACTTAAAGAGGTCCTCTACCCCAAGAGCTACAGGTGACTCCTCAGGCAAGGTCCCCAGTGGGCTTTGCCTTGGTGTGCACGGTGCAGTTTGACCACACAGCAGACACACCATCATGCGGACATGTGAGGTTAGCCTTTTGCGAACATCCCTGGGGTTCACTTCTGTGCACATCAGCGGGACTCAGCTTTCCACGTATGTGCCGGATTTACCTCCCTGCAGATGCACGGGGTGTTTCTGGTGCCTGCCACTGCTGGAACAACTGGTTTTGAATTGGTGTTTATTTCAGTAATAGGATGGGACATGATCAGTGCTCGTTTTCACTGCGGCATCTCGCAACTGCTGTGCGTCCCCTCCGCTGGAATCATGAGTTGGTCAACATGAGTCATCCAATGAGAGAGCGAGGACTTGGAGTGGCGAGACTGCAGAGTTGCAGGAAGGTGGAGGAGGGGTGAGGGGTGGGGCAACTGGACCAGATAACTGGCAGGCAGAAAGAGCCTGGTAGTGTACATCGGTTGTGCACCTACTATGTGCCCTTTAAATCCACCCAGTTGTCCATCCAGTTTGTATGTGCACTGGACCTACTATGTGCTGTGTTTGATTCTCAGCCAGGTGAATTCAGAGAAGGCCACTATTCCGAGAGATCAAATGACTTCTTGGACACACAGCTGGCTGGGTCATGGACCTGGGATCTGGCCCCAGATCTTTCTGCTTCTAGAATCCAAGCAATGCTTTCTAAGGTGTCCTGCTTCTCAAATGTCTGGCCTCCATTACCTTCCAGAAAGGTTTTCCCTTCCCACACCTTCGCCTCCCAATTTGAAACAATGGTTAACCCCTTCCTTCCAAATGAGAATTCCTATGCCAGAGGAGCCTAGCATTAAAGGAGCTGTCACATCAGCACCGTTTACCTGTTTGGGTTTATTCAGCAGAAGAGGCAACTGCGTTTCTGGCAGATGGAGACCCGTGCGACTGCCTTTTAAAATACTGTCACAGCTGTATGCACAAGCTGATTAGCTGTGACTACACTGCTAGCACTGAGATTGATGGCGATAAATTTGGGATAACAATGCTGGGAACGATGTCATTCGTTTGTATTGCACTTCATATTTTTTAAAGCTCTCTCAATCAATAGCCCAGTGGTTATTGAAGATTTGCCACTCATTCATTCATTGAGGCATTCATGGTTCGAAGTGCGTTTGAAGGAGTCAAACTCAACTCACTCTGATCCATTCATTCATTCAACAAACATTCGTGGAGTACCTACTAAGTGCTAGGGAGGAACTAATCCAACTAGGTTCTGACCTCGTGGAGCTTACATTCTAACAAAGCAAGGTCAGTGCTTTTCAGAGGCTGATAAAATGGTGAACAAAACAGGAGTGGTGTGGTACAGTTGGGAAGGGAGGGGGAGGCAGGTGCTGCTTTAAATTGAGCAGTCGGAAGAGGCCTCACTCTCTCTGAAGAGGTAATAGTGGAAAGGAGACCTGGATACTAAGTGAAAGCCAGCAATGGGAAGATACAGGGTAAAACTACCCAGGCACAGCAAGTGCAAAGGCCCTGAGGTTGCTACATATTTGGCATTGGGCTGCGCACTGGTGACTTACTGGTTGCCAAGCCCAATGCTGGGCACTGGAGATTCCAAAACAAGTAAGACCTATGCTTGTCCTTAAAAAGACCCCAGGATAGTGGGTGCAAAGGTCAGAAATTTACAAACAGCCCACTTAATGTCGTGTGAGAGCCCCAGTGATGGTGACACATAAAGAGGACACCTTTTTGGCCCACGAACTGGTGATCAGAGAAGGCAATTCAAGTGGAGTAGCACAATGCATGACACCTGGTTTCTATGACAAAGACAGGACCCAAGACCCAAAGTTCCCATCATCTCTGGAGGACCCTGACTTTCTTCTCGGTTTGTTTCCACAGGACAAATGACCAGCTGGTGGCATTTCTCTCCCGATACCGAGATATGAATTTCTTGAAGTCACACGGCCGGGACAATGCAAGGTAGTGTGTCACCACCCAACCCCTGTGCAAAATGGAAATGAAAATCTGAATGATAAGTTGCGGCCTTTTTTTCTCCTAAGCTGGTTTGGTGCAACCAGAGAAGCGTTGAGTGTGGGAGAAGGGCACGGCACGGGCTGGCCTTGGCCATGTCCATGTAGGTTCTAAAGTGGTCCCTTCTGGTCAGCCAAGGACTGAGGACATTGTCCATGTTTCTCATAGTGTTACAGCCCTTTTCATTTGGTTTTTTCCCAAGAACTTTCTTGAGTCCATTATCTCATGACAACCCTTTGAGTAGGACAGTTACTGTCAGTTCCCATTTTATTGATGGCAAGACTAAGGCCCACAGTCAAAGTGGTGTCCCAGATCATTCATTCAGCCAGTCAGTCATTCAGCTAATATTTACTGAGTGCCACCATTATGCCACTCACCATTCTAGCAGTGAACAAGACTCATGGAATTTATTTTGTAGTGAAAAAGAGTTTTTAAGCAGAATGGAGTTGAACAGAGGGTCCTGGCTTCCAGCCCTAGATCCTCCCCACTGCCTCATGCTGCTGCCCAGCACGTGAACAGGGAGTGGAGGCACCCAGTACCCCAATCTAGATCCATTACACCTCTTTCCCTTAAAATGAACAGTGTCCAAATATATGTATATAAAATCTTGGCAGAGCACAATGGCTCATGCCTGTAATCCCAGCACTTTAGGAGGCCAAGGTGGGACAATTACTGGAGGCCAGGAGTTTGAGACCAGCTTGGGCAACACAACAAAATCTCATCTCTACAAAAAAATGAAAAATTAACCAGGTGTGATGGTGTGCACCTATAGTTCCAGCTACTTAGGAGGCTGAGGCAGAAGAACCACCTGGACCCAGAAGGCTGTGGTGAGCCATAATTGTGCCATTGCACTCCAGCCTGGGTGACAGGATAAGACCTTGACTCAGATAGATAGATAGATAGATAGATAGATAGATAGATCGATAGATCGATAGATCGGTCGATCAAAGATAGGTAGATAGATACATAAATAGGTAGGCAGGTAAATAGATAGATGATAGATAGATAGACAGACAGACAGATAGAACAGACAGCTAGATAACAGAGAGAGAGAGGTGATAGATAGCATCTCTATAGTCCAGCACTGGGCAGAGCACAACTCTCCGTGACCAGAGATCAGCTAGAAGGATGCAGTCTTGAGCGCCCCCTGTAGGGGAGATCACATGACAACTTGATCCACCATTAAAAACCAGACCCGGATGGCTCCAGTGTCCTGGGGCCTCCTCCTAGTGTTGAACTCAGAGCATCACCTGGCAGCACATGGGATAATTTTAGCTTGTTAATGTGCTTCATTTGGTTCTCGTAGTGTTTTGTTTTAATTCAGGTGCTTCATCTGAAAATGAAAGCCCCATTTAAGAATAGCAGTATTTCCCACACAAAGACAGATTTCTAGCCAGTCTTAAAAAAAACCTGAAGGTCCATTAACTCTGTGCCTGAATTTCTCGTGGCAGTTATTGCCTGCATCTCAGGATGCCGTGATCTTCACCTGTCCCCCTTCCCAACCATCACCCAAGGGAATCTCTGTTTGCGATCTCTGCCTTAGATCCATCTACCATTGCTAATAGAGGTGTCACCTTGGCTGGCTCTGTGACTCGGTTTACTCAACTATTCAGAGCAGAGGAACAAAAGCAAGCAGAACGCTCCATTTCCTGAACTTTTAAGAAGTAACCCCACATCCTGGTGTTGTATCATCAACCTTTATTTCATTCAGTTATTTATAGATTGTTCCTGTCTTACTCACAGCCTGCCTTCTTTTATTTATTATTCTTTTTTTTCCAAGGGGTTTGTTGCAAGGTATTTGTTGTGTGGGTACATTGTGTGGTGGTGAGGTTTGGGTTTCTATGAAGCCCATTACCCAGATGGTGGGCATGGCACTCAGTGGGTAGTTTGTCAAACTTTTCCTGGCTTCCTCCCGCCCTACGTCCCCTTTAGGAGTCCCCAATATTTGTTGTTCCCCTCCTCATGCCTGTGTGTATTCAGTATTTAGCGTCCACTTATAAGTGAGAATATGCAGTATTCAGTTTTCTGTTTCTGTAATAATTTGCTTAGAATGATGGGCTCCAACTGCTTCTGCATTGCTGCAAAGGATGTGGTTTTGTTCTTCTTTATGACAACCTGTCTTCTTTATATTTAAAAGGAACCCCACCCCCTAGACTTGAAGATGCTCTGTAAATTAGCAAAGATTTGTATAGCATGTTCAGGCCTCTAAGGGTACAGAGGCTTGATTGGATGAATAAGAAGAATTATAGCTACTGTGTGTTGTGTGTTCCTACTAAGTGTCCATCATCTGCTGGGCCCTTCTCTTATAGGATCCAATTTCATTCTCACAGCCACTCAGTGCAACTATAGGAATTATTATCCACATTTGTGACTGGGTGCTGTGTTTCACACCTGTAATCCCAGCACTTTGGGAGGCCAAGACAAGAGGATTATTTGAGCTCAGGAGTTCAAGACCAGCCTAGGCAACATAGCAAGACCTCGTCTCTACAAAAAATAAAATAAAAAATTAGTTGGACATGGCAGCACGTGCCTATAGTCCCAGCTGCTCGAGGGGCTGAGATGCAAGGATCGTCTGAGCCCAGGAAGTTGATGCTGTAGTGCATCGTGATTGTGCCACTACACTCCAGCCTGGGCAACAGAGTGAGATCTTGACTCAAAAAAAAAATTACTATCCCTGTTTGTCAGGAGATGAAAGGGAGGCTTGGCAAACCTATGTGATTTTCCCAAAGGCGGCACAGCTAGTTAAATACTGGAATTTGAACCCAGGACTTTCTGGTCCTGTGGCCACAGGAACACGATAGGACTAGGCATAGTTCTACAGAAGTGGTTCACTATCAGAAGGGGCCCAGATATTGATGTTCCCCTGCTTTAGGCAGAAGATGAAAACCCTTCTTTTTCTTTTTCTTTTCTTTTTTTTTTGAGTTGGAGTCTCACTTGGTCACCCAGACTGGAGTGCAGTGGCTGCTCCTGGCCATCACAGCCTCGCCTTCCGAGGCCACCACAGCCTCGCCTTCCTGGCCACCACAGCCTCGCCTTCCAGCAATCCTTCCGCCTCAACCTTCCAAGTAGCCGGAATTATAGGCATGCGCTACCAAGCCCGGCTGATTTTTTGATTTGTTGTAGAGATGAGGTCTCTCTGCCCAGGCAGGTCTCAAACCTGCGGGCTCAGGCAATCTACTCACCTCAGCCTCCCAAAGGTGCGGGATTACAGGCTGACAGGTAACTGCTAATACATGGTTTTCCACATCATGAGAAAAAACTCAATGTAAGTGTACCATCTTCTGTCTGAATTACATCCACCCTAGTTTTATTGTTTCAGCCTTGTCAGTATCAACTCTCTGTACACTATTTGCCAGGCACTGTGCCAGAAACTGAGTAGAGCACAGGTTGGAAGCAGGGGCTTTGAGGTTTCGCCTTCTGGATTGGAACTCTGACCTACTGTGCCCTACCTGTGCTGACTGGCCAGGTGACTTCACCTTACTGAGCCAGTTTCCTTACCTGCACAATGGAAATATTAATAGGCCTATGCTCATGAGGTCATTGGGAGGATCAGATGAGATGCTCCATGTACTTTGGCGGCACCAATGCCTGTGATGATAGTGGTGATGATGGTGATGATGAAGATGTCATTATTATGATAAGCATAAAACTAAAGTGTCGCTGGCAGGAGAAAGAAATAGATGGTGTGTGTGCCTGAGTTGTGCCCTGGATGTGTGAGGATGCCCTGTATAACTGATGGGCATCAGTAGCTGACAGGGAGTATTTACATGGCACGGGACAAGATAAAGACTCGGACTAAGGAGATGTTTCTTGCATCTCCCTCCAAAACCCTCAAACCCAAAGATCTCTGGACGAAATAACTCACATGTTCTAACTCATGCATGAATCCCCAGCTGGGATGCTCACATAAAATAAATGAGAGATTTAATATAAATTTAATCGTAGGTAATCTAATTATTATTAATTTGATGGTTATTAATATTAATTGAACAGTAACACGAGCCAATGTGCTGTCATCTGCTGCTCTCTCTTCTCTGCTAGCCGAGTCTTCACCTACTACGTGAACACACCTAGCTACAGCCCATCATCTGTCGACCCTCCCAAATGAGCAGAGCTGGGCATGACAGGGGTCAGGTTCCTTCACTGCCGCTGTGTTAGAAAGAATTCTTTTGGTGGGAAGTGACACAGACTCGGCCCAAACTAGCTTCAGGGAAAAGAAAAGTATTGGATCAGGTAACTATAACATTGAGACTGATGGTATGGCTGAATCAAGCAACTCAAGTGATGTCATCTACCCAGACCCCCTATTCATTCTCTTTTCCTGTGTGTTGGTTTAATTGTTTGGCTCTAGGCAGTGACCACTGACCAAAGCTCACACCACGAGGGCAGGGCCAGGTCTCAAGCCCAGGTGGATGTGTCCATGGCACCAAGCTCCTAATTCCCGCATGATGAAGCCTCTCTGTGTTCTAGGTCTGCTTTCTGCCAATATGCTGGTTGACTCTGAAGCAGCCACTGTGCTTCTTTGGGTTCAATTTTCTCCCTTTGAAAAGGAAGTTGAATGAGATAGTCTCCAAAATCCCTTCCATTCTCATGTTCCATGCATCTGGCCCAACTCTTGTAAAAAAGGAGGTGACAGAGGCAGAGACCTTGAAAGGCAGAAAGATGGAAGGGACACAGGCAGGCAGTGCGATACAAAAGAGGTCACAGAGGCCCTCGGTTTCTAATTCTATGTGGTTCCTAGTAGCAGTGGTGAACCTTTGTCTTCATCTCCAGCCTTCGGCAGCCAGTTTGGACTTCCGGCTCCCGCTGTGTAGAGGTGACATAAAGTCAAACTCGTGTTTTGAGCGGCCAAATTGGTCCTGAGGTTCCTGTCACTGAATGAAGACGAGTGTTGTGTTTAGCATTTCTCCTTGCTTTCCTCTGAAAATAAAGTAACTGGATATGCTGAA